AAGAATATGTGTTTCTAAGCAGGCTGTCAAACTAAGCTGAAGTAACAGATTTCAAGTATTAAAAAAGTGCTACTCTTTTATAAGGTTACGTGGCCCAAAAGATTCTTTTTTTTATCAGATTACTCATCAGAAACACTAAAACAGATATCACAGACGACTGAAGCAAAACAATGGCTTTTGCAGTTAACATATAGATCAAGAGTAATTTTGAATAAGGTTAGTCAAACTGATCGACATACAAAGTTGGTCTTATTAATGATATATTTACTACACTGCAATATAAGAATTCGATGCGTGACAATATTCTGGAAACAGGGGTAGCATAGATTATGACTTAGGCAAAAAATATTTTCGAAAACAAACTGTAGATAAAGTTTTAATTTGATAGAGAATTATTCACACACTGAAAAATGTGTATCAAAAGTCACCATGCATAAATCAATTTTCACAAAATAACGCTAACTTTGAATAGATAGCGCTTCAGGATTAGCAGATCCAGGAGGTTGGTTGTAATTTGCATGAAGTCATAAATCATTGAAGGGAGCGGCTGATAGACAACATAGACCAGCTCATCTTTTACACTAGCTGCATAAGATATATTCAGCTTCGTAGAACATGCCAAAAATATGAATGTTAGAGATAAGAAGATGATTTCATTGGATAAACCAATTCATCTGTGCCAAAGTTAATTCTCCAATCGAAAGCACTGAAATGATTTGTAACTCCATTCTCTTAATCTACCATATTAAAGCGGTATGAGGTATCGAGTCCATTCAAGCTGATTCAGTTACTCTGAGCAATGAAATCAATTGACCCTGAGCAAGCTACACAATGGTCTGATATTTAAGGTACTCGAATTTAGTTGCTGAGGTTTCCTGCTGTCTAATGTAAGTGCTTCTTAACATTTGAAACCTTTCAGTATTTCAAATACTCCACCTTAAAGAAATTTAGAGTTATAACTCGGAAAGCATTACCTAGAATTTTTATGATAAATCGTAGATAACAAGTAATAGCAGAGTAAGCATGGGTAAATAAGTTAGAAACATGAAATTAAGCTTGAATAGCTACAACATTTATGAAGTGTGAATAAGTGGTTTCACTTGATTAAGAATTTCAGACTAAAGCCGACTAGGGGAGATTGAGGGTACACCAGTTAACGTGATTCAAGTAAATCCATTAATCAGATACCCTGCAAAGAACAAAACTGATAGACATTATCAGTGAACTTAAACCACAGTATGTTGACTATACTTTTATGTAAATATATATCAGTCATGGTAATGGCTAATCAGAGATATTTAATTAAACGTATGCTGAAGTTGTATTCGTGAAACGGAACGACATCGAGGATACTGTTTTACTTTTTATGCATAACCATCTTGGAAAAAGTGGTTGAAATTGTTTGAAATACATGAATAGACAAAATATCTCAAGTAAATCGTTTTCTTTCCGTTAGTTACAACAGAGATTAAATAGGAAAACCTCCGAGGCACAGAAAATTGTGTTCAGCAGAAAAAATTAAGGTGTGTACAACAGTCCCGAAGAGCTTTGATTAGAATGACCAATGAGGAAAGCCCATTGTCGATTAGGAAAGTAAGCCTTTAAAATAGTACCAGCACTTGAGTTTGAAGGGATAGTCTTGATTACCTGCCTGGCTTTTGATAGAAACTAGACTGGCATTAAATTTTACCAAACGACAGAACTAGAAACTAGTGCAACGTTTCCAGTAATCAAACTCAATAGTATGTGGGGTATATTATTAATCAGCTCAGACAGCTGAATTATTCAAACCAACGATATTCTGGCTAGCTACTTGAGCATATACACTTAGATTATTGGAAAGGGATTATAGCGAGTTATCCTGTACATAATTTCTGAAACTTATACTCCAGGTAACCAGAAGCGTTAACATGCATCTAATTTACATGCAACAGATATAAGATATGAATTTAGAATTGAAAATTTATTTCGCATAATCGCTTAACAAAATTATTCCAGTTAAGTCAAATTTATGGCAGCTGTCAGAACGCAGAGGATTTGATGAGTCACTGACTCTCTTTTTAACGTATTAACTTCAGACATACAGAGAAATATTGTCTCAGCTTGGATTTCCGTCACTCATTTACATCGGAACGTATGTTAGCACTTTATTGGACCTAAGAAAAGTACAGCAAAACAGCTTATGGGCAAGGCTGGAAGATAAGACCATCAAGTGCGCATTTATGGAGGAGGTGAAGAAGCGTTTGTCTAAAAACCTCGACAATCCCTACTGATTTTATTATTCGGCAGATCTCGTCAGCTGCCTAAAACCAAGAATATTTACAATAAAAAAATAGCAACTATATGTCGAAATACTTTAGTTCAGAGAGATCAACCAAAACGAGAAAACAACAGGACAGAGTAAGGAAGCTGTACGAAATGAGATGTAGACAAAACTTTAGGCAATGACTTTATAAATATTTACAGTATCAGAATAAGAATCCTAATAAAAAGAGATGAGAGGTAGAAAAACGAATACCGTGAAATTCAGAACAAGAGACTAAATCAGTAAATGGGTGGATAAGTTAGTGATAATCAGAAAACAAAATATAATAGTAATGTAATAATAATAAATATAATAGTGAGTATAATTCAGTAGATTAAAGTTTGAGTTTAGTGCAAACTGAAAACCTAATGACAGGATAGTGACGTAATCAAATAAGTTGAAGGTTTAGAAATAACGTTACCAGGGTACTTGAAGATTTACGACAGGTTCCCGTCGAATACATAAATCAGCTCTAAGGCGTGTGATTGTAATGGCCTAAGTGAAACGAAGATCTGAATAATCCCATTTATTCGTTACTTAAAAGGATTCAAAAGAATCTGCTTGATATCCTTTGTCCATTAAGTGCTTAGTAGTTGCACCGTTGAGAACATTTGCTCCTATCAGTCGTTGGCTCTTCAGGACGCGTTCAAAATATTGAAGGTAAGTCCGTCTTCACCAGCAACCAACAAGTTCTATCTGTATTTCCTCAAGGAGGTGAAGCAGTCAACGCACTCTAACAATATGCTCTCTATCCTTAAACTTGAAATAGACGCAGACCGATCGTGAAGCATCATTTTATACTTCACATATGCGAAACGCATGTCAAACATGCTGAGATTTCTGCTCACCATGTTGAGAGACCATGTGTTTCGTCAGCGTTTTCACCTAACAGGAAAATATCGACTATGTACTCCAGTTCCACAAGCTATCATCCAGTGAAGAGGTCAAACCTCAAGCTATGTCCATCAATACATCTATAACGAAATTAAATAGGAACGGTAAAGGTGGGCAACCCTGACGGCAACCAACAGTTAGTGTCAATCAGTATGATAACTCTCCATAAGCCCTCACATTGCTACCTGAGTTTCAGTAGAGAGCTTTGACTAAAGTAACATATTTCCTTGATAAACTCGTCATAGTCACACACTGCAACAACATCTCACGGTCGAGACAGTCAAATACCATCTTTAGATAATAAAAAAACATGGAAGTGTTAGCCGCCAGTAAGTATATCTGTGGTCTATAGCCTGACGAAGGGTGAATATATTATCAATGCACCCTCACCTAGGTCTGAAACCCGCTTGGTTCTCTCGAGTTCCACTTAGGCATCGGATAACCATGGACCCAAAGATCTTGAACGCAATATTGGTGAAACGGACCCATCTACTGTTGTCTCAAGAACACTTGTCTCCTTTCTTATAGATTAGAATGATCAAAGTATACCGATCTGACAGGAGTACCTCTGGTCCTCATACGCTACCTAGCACCTCTGTTACTCTACTCAGTAATTCCCTACTAACGCCCCATAAAATTCTGGTGGGAAACCATCAGATCCTGCTGTGTTGAACCACTTCAGGCTCAAAGCAGCTTTCTTAACTTTGTGGAGATTTGGAGAATCGACGTCTACTTTCCATTCAGGTTCGGGCTGGCTGGATGTTGGGCAACTGATGGGTTGCTATGGGACAGTTGAGCTGTGCTTCAAAGTGTTCCACCCAAAGTTCTGGCCGCCTGTCCTCCTTCAGCATGGCTTCACTAACCATCATCTTCTTCTCGCCATTATCCTGAATAACTCTAGATAATTGCTAGCCATTACCTAGTACTGATGCTCCCTGTATCTGTTTCATTGTCACCACCCACTACTGCTTTCGATCATTGCGAAGACTGCCTGACAATTTACAGTTGAGCTTCTTTCGTTCTTCATTGTGGACACAGTCAGATGCAGAGTCTTCTCACATCAATCAGTACAAATGAGATTGTAGAAATTCATTGGTTTTTGGTGACGTTTGAATATGGGTTAACAACTGTCTTTACTGGTGTTTCTACCAAAGACTTAATACCATGCCAGGTTTCATCAGAAAGAGAATTGCTGTCGCTTTTGCATAGATGCTTAGCTATCTACCCAAACACACAACTTCACTTTCTCTTCCTACTCATTCTTTACTACCACCTGTTTCTTGCTACCAGTTATGCGCAGAAATATATATACGCGCACTAAAGCGTGATTGCGGACCAAATAGGTACTGCCGGCAGAGCAGCAATCATATCCAACAACAGCTTAATACAATGTCATCCATTTGGATACATCGTTGGCTTGATGGAGACGAACAACAAGCGAGAGTGTCTCTCTTTAAATTGGAAGTTAGTGCTGGTCAAAAACAAGTGATTGTTATAACAAGTTTACAACAGACGATCATCGTTGTTGCTTTCTTGGCACAGGACGTCACAGATGCCTTTCCGACTGCCCCAGATTTCCTTAATGAGCGTTGAAGTCACTTACAATTACGACTATACCTGAAAATTTTGGTTTTTATAGCGAACTTGACAGCTTTCAACAGAATTAACCTTTTCGTCGGCTGAATTGTAGTCGTTTTTGGGGTGAACATTTCCAAACATATACGTTGTTCAAAAGAATTCTAAGGCAACCAAGAGAAATTTTAGTTTTATTTTTGGTAACACCTTAATAACAAATACTTACCTAAATGTTTTATTCTATAGAACATCGACTGATCCATTTTAGCTCTTTGCATTCGCATATGATTGGATTCTTTCTTGCGAAGCAGACAACGCATTTGAACTCGAGCAGTTTCGTCCAAACCAACTTTAGACATTTCAGCCTCAAGACGATCCCGTCTTTCTTTACGCTCTCGATGTATTTTACCAACATCTGCCATTCTTTGTTCCATAAAGCGTCGATAGACTGCCGGATTAACAGGTTTAACCATTCGGAATGCGTATTGTTCTTGAGCTGAGTCATCGGCATCCTCTGTTGATTCAAGCTCTTGAATTTGTGTGGATGCTTTAGGCGTATCATCAATCAGTTTGTCCTCGGCTACTTTATGTTCGGACTTCACTATAGGGTTAATAAGTTCAACTGGACCAAGAAAAAATGCCTTAGTTGATTGGTTTACAAGTGGACTGACTGATCGACTATCAAAATCATATGGCATAACTTCTTGTTGCTGTTCTGTAGGTGTATTTCGATGTGGTGTGTTGCATTTTCCAAGCTACAATGAAACGATTAAATGGATGCTTAAAAGTAGGTTTTTTCCTTTTGAACAAATGTCTAAGATAGCAATTTGTCTTGATTTAAAGAATAACGATATTATCATTTTTCAAAAAATAACTATGATAAAGAATTGTATATCAAGAAACACACGCACTGAGGTACATTTTTCTGTAAAACTTACGGTACTCTTCATCAGAGTTCCGACTGTGTACTGATCCAGTGCACTGTGACGAAATATTTTGGCTTAGTTTATGGAAGTACATGGTATGAAAAGTTTGCATGTTTTTCATTTGAATTCTTTCAGTTATTTACAAGCAATTCCTAAGTAGGGATATATTAAGAATAAATCTAAGATTTCAGCTATTGGGCTGGAATGGGAAACCATGCACGTCACTTTGAATAATCATTGACAATATCCCTTCAGCAATTAACACGAAATTAACAAATAAATCATCTTTAGATTCATTAGTTATGAACGCAAGAGATCGTTTTTAACTTTGTACGCAATGTATCAAAAATATTTCACATCTGCTCATAAAAGTAGAAGTTTAGAAAATCGTAAATGTTGCAATAGCTGGTCTGCAAAATCGACGTCATAGATGGGAAGTGTATAGAAACAAATCTTACATAAGTAATTGAAATGAATGCAGACAACATAAGATAGCTTAGGTTACAATTGTCATTTTGTTGGTGTTATATTGATAAATGAATACAGTACTGTTATGACGTGATCTTAAATTATAACCAGGCGACCGTCTGCTCTAGCTACCCACAAAATATAATTAAAGAAGAAAACGACAAAAAGCAACGAATTCAGTAGCTGATAGAACAATGAAGAATCGACTAAAAATGCATCATACTAGTAGCGTCTCTCGAGACATTCATGAGATGATCAAGAGGATGATTTAAAATGATCAACTGTTATAATAATACTGCAGCTGAGTAAATTTAATCAAAGAAAAAAGTACTAAAACAAAACAGTAGGACTATAAGACAATGGAACATAAGATATAGTGAAGTCTTCTGGGAAATGATCATATTTTCGAACATGTTATAGGTAAATTTCTTCAAAACAATCAAACAAAGCAATAAGAAGAAAATAAATAAAAATAGAGAAGTCAATTTTGCAATTAAGTGCTTGTGGTTTACAGGGGAAAAAATATGTGAATGACCTAACTTTTAGCAAACCTATTTCCGTGTGAAAATAAAGAAGTTTTGCAAGAAAATAGTTACATTCAATGCGTGACACTAGAATTTTCAAATAAAGCGACAGTACTTTTAGCACTATGGGATGTGAATGGAATTACAGTTGTATTTTACTAGTCTGAAATGTTTAGCACGCTACATCCTTCACAAAAAGTAACAATAAACGCATAACCTATTTTCCAAAAACAAAGTCTGCTTAATACTAAAGGAATTATTTATTTATTAAAAACGGAAACTCGGTACAATATAAGCACAAAATGCAGCATAAGAATTAATGTAACAACAAGACATGAAAGTGATATAGACAGAAGCAAAGGAAAATGGAACAGATGATAAAATAGAGATGGGTTATTAAAGAAGTGGTCCCAAGCGTACGTTTGCAGAAGCAGTTACTACTCTCGTTTTACCTTCCGATGACAGCAGAAACAAAAAAGCTGCAGCAAGATATACGCTGGTTTACCTTTTGAGCGAAGTCTGCTATCGTCTGAAGCCACTAGGCAGTATGATTTATCTTACCCAATACAATGAGTCTTGAGACATCAAAGATGTTATCCAAAGAAACCAACGGATGGCACCACGTCATACATCGGCTTTATCTCTGAACTTCTGCTAACTAGATCCGGAGCAAGCAAAAGGTACGGTAGCTATGAGAGCGACGTTCGTATTGCTGGTGGTACATACTGACTTAAATCAATAGATGACGATCTCCATCGTGCTGAAATATGTACCGCCACACACATGAACTGATTACGTCACGTTTCCACCTGATCCTAGCATTCCTATCGAAACGATGGAGTAAGAACACACAGAGTCCTTAAAAATCCTCAGGTCAAAGAAACTAGTTTTCACAGGCATAGAAGAGGACTTTCTGTACCGACACTTTGTACACCCAACATTAAACGACCAGATTAGCTTCATGGTGGCGCCAAAGGAGGTACGGATTGGCATATCCCACCCTGCTGGTTATAAATTGTGCCACTCACACTTTCATCGATTACAAGAACTGTTCCAGTGGTTCACTACCAAGGATTAGTAAGACTGCAGGCTCTTCCTAGTTTTGCTAAAGCATTTTGCCCTTTGACGATGCATAACATATACCGTACTGACGGATATTAGTGGAAAATTGACTGAGGGCAATTTGAGTGACTTATATTATCCACAGTAAAACGATATCTTCCCCACACTCTGAAAAATCGTATCTGGTGGCAGATTAATAACATCTACTTTCTTCACAGCTGCTTCTGGTATGTTATTGGCAGTAAAGCTAGGTAGAAATAGCGTAGTCGAACAGCTCTATCTAACCCAGCCGTTCGCTTGGAGCAATCGAGAGATTTGTTTGCACGCCTTCACTCTACATCAGGCTTTTTGTACAGGAACTCTAAGATGTTAGTGGACAATAGGCCACTTAAATTGCTTTTTTTCGTGATCCTCTCAGCGTTGTAAGCGTTTACAAAGGTTGTTAGCTGGCGTACCATCTACTTCACAAACATCCGCAATGATACCAGGCTTTTTGATGCACTTGGGTAGGGTGAGTTGGAAAAGTTCCAAACTACTGTTGAATTCAGCTGTTGCTCGAATCTCAATTGCACTTTCTGTCAGCAAATAATCACAGTTTGTAAGCAAATACCGCGAGAGCTGCCACGCAAGAGGCCTACGTATTGCATCGTACTTGCTTTCTGTCGCAGTAGATCGACGAGCGGTAATGACTTGCATGAAACAAATGAATTCGGTATTGACTAACAGTCTACCCTTGAAAGCCACCAGCAACTTTACTCATAATTTCCACAGCATCTTGTAGGTGACTGAGTGCTCGCCTAAACTTTCTGGAGTTTCGACAGTTAACCTTAATTTTAAGTTGGTTCAGTATTTACATGCAGTAATCACAGAAACCAATTCTCTTACTTGACGTGTTTAGCCCACAATTCTGATGACCGAAGTGCAAAGTGAATTTATTACACACTAACTCATCATCAGAGTTTAAACGGTTGATCCAGAAGGAGCGGTATTTCTGAATGCACTAAAGCTAACTGCAATGCGATATATTTTAGTCAAGGGTGGGATGACAGAAGAGGGCGCCAGACAGCACAACGGCGATGGCTAAGCCGGAAGTTGATGCTAGCTAAAATAAGTTATGAACTGCACACAGCCACATAATAGGGTCCCTACTATATGACCTGCGACTGACTAATCTTAGTCGGTCACCTAAACTACCGTTCTCTGAGCCTAGATGACCAGCCTGTACATTCAACTCCCCAGCAAGCAGTACGATGTCTTTTGAGCGTACTTGATAATGAAGGTCATTTGACTGACAGTAGAGTTCATCTTCAGCCGCATCTGGGCCGCGGTCTTTCTGAGGATAGCAGAGGTAACGAAGAATTATCGTCCCCCTTGCCAGTTGCTCACACTCACCAAACATTCTAGCCTAAAAGCTCACAAGTAGCTGTGCTACGCATACAAAGCCACCACGTACCTTGACGTGCAATGCTAGCAGAAGTTGGACTAGGTTTGCAGAAGGTTTAGAATGGCCAGGTTAAAATGTGCACAAGTCGATGAAGTCCTGAACTGTCGGTATGAGCCCTGGAAAGAGGTATAGACTGTCTGACTGGGGTACCCGAGATAACAGGAACCAGTAGTTGAGAACTCTTGGTGAAATGGCTGGAAATTGGTCACAGTAGCGCAGATGTATTCACCCTTTGATGCCTTATAAAGCTTGAATATCGTGACCAACCTTAGTTTTTAAATTCCTTCTCCTCCCATACACATTTGTCTACTTTGATATCAGTCCTTCCGATTCACTTGCTCTTTGTGTATTTCCTGGAAGTGGGGCAACTTGAACCAATGCAAATGTGTGCAGGGTTCAACGTTGATTTTGTCTTTCTGTAATGGGGATCCAGTCGAGTATTAAAGCTTCGGCTCTAGTAGTTAGTGCGACACTAACACCAGCAGATTCAGTTGTCGATGTCAGTGGGTTCCTCGATGAGTTCACGGTAAACCCATATTTTGAGCTGACAGACGGGTAAGCTGCTGAAAACACTCGACTTGGGTCTTGTGAGTCAGTGTGCTAAAATACAGATGTGACGTATTTTGTCTCATTTTTATCCATCTAGCCAATGTGACTACGACGAAAGGACGGCTAAGCACTACGAATTCACATGACAGTCAGGAAAAATCCCTTGGTGGTTCAAGTGAAATTAAGACCTGGTCAGCAGCTGGGTCCCGTAATCAGTTAACGGAGAACCAGGTACGTCATCTGGATGTCACTGGTTCAAATCTTGCTACGGTTCAGGCTTTTATTTCACCTTCAATCACCAACTAGTACCAATATATAAAGACTTTTCAGAATGATGGTGTAAAAATGACAGAGTTAATGTGCAATAACAACAAAAATAAACAAACTGGATGATTGAGTAGAAGTTCACTAGACATTTGATTTCCTACAGGAAAATGTTTTCAGCTCTTCAAAAGCCTTTCATCTTTTGCATGGTGGATTTCTGGACATCCAGACCAAAGAAGATGGTTATCAAAGGAGACCACTTCCGAAACCTTGGACTTAAAGACAGGTCCACAAAACAATGAAGCGACACCAGGTGTTGTAATCCCATGGACATTGGTGACCAAAGCAGCTTTTCACATCATTCATCTGCTCTGTATCCTGGAGCTTATGTGTATCAATGGTTTGGAGTTAGGGTTATCAACTCTCTTGGGCGGGCAGTTTGTATCAAGCAGTCTAGAAATAAGTGCCCGATATTCGCTTTCGCCGTCATTTTTATGAAAACACCTTCGGAATCAAGG